TATGTAATTTAAAAGCAAGCTTTTCTTTATAAAAACTTCAATTGAATTTCAATAAAGTTAAAGACATGGCCTCATCACTAATATTTAAAAAAAAAATAAAAAAAACTTTTTATTTGTTTATATTATTAAATTGTTTTTTGTAATATATAAAAAATTTTAAAATTAGATATCAAATTGTAATTTGATTAAATGAAAAGATGGAATATAATAGTCTATAATAAATTTTTGTAAAATAATATTTATAGTAATATTGATATAAAATTTAAAGATATTATAAATTTGTAAAATAGAAAAATTATTTTTTGATGTATTTAAAATATGTTTTAAATAAAAATTTTAAATAAATAGACTAACCTATAGGTTGATAGTGCAGTGGTTAGTATTTTTGGGTCTCAATTACAAAGTTGCGAGTTTGAGTTTTAGAAGGCAACAAAAACTCTGTTAGTATCATGATTAAAAAAGATTTGCAGAGAATTTCTACTTAAAAAAAAAACAAGAACAAGATTCATATAAAAAGAATACAGTGACCAGCATAACCACAAAGTCAGGAACAACCAGATAAGGCATAATCTATCAACAAATGATGTTAACATTGAGAAAGCCTAATTTAAGAATATGTAAAATTAAGAATATTGAAAATATATGAATAATCTGGCTGGTGGGTTATGTGAAGTTAGAAAACTGTGAACTGAAAGTAATAGTAGGTCCTATACTGAGGAACCAGAGACCTGGGACATCATATGGAGACTTAATGGAGTATAAGTTATCTTACAGTTCAGTAACATATAAGGTCACATGCCATCTGATAATCTTTGCAGAATGATAACTCTGACCTTTAAGAAATATAACAGATCCTAAAAATATCTAAGGATCTTCAAGATAATGAAAAAAGGTAAAGATAAAAAAAAAAAAATAAATAAATAAATAGACTTAGATTATAAATTATAAAAAAATTTTTAATGATTAATAATTTAGTATTTATTATATGAAATAGATAAAATCTGACAAGATTTATAGTAATTTGAAATTATTTTTTAATTGAATAAAAAAAATAAAATAATATAAGTTAAAAAGTTGTTTATAGTTTATTTTATGAAAAAGAATATAGATAAATTTGATAATTTAGTTTTTTGTTATACTAAAAAGTATTTTAAATAGTATTTTAATTCCTTCAATAATATGTAGATTCTTATATAGAATTGAGTCTATAATAAATTTAAGTTTTTTGGTTGCTATAATTTTAATTAATAAACTAAAATTGTTTTTTATAATTGATTTGTTAATTGCTATAAAATTAATAATTGAACTGAGATAAAAATCTTTGAGAATTGATTTTATAAACTCTGAAATTTGAATTTCAATATCATAGTAAAGATAAAGAAGAGTTTTTTGAAATAAGATAACTTTTAAACCAGTTTAAAAGTTAATTTTGTTGTATTGTAGTTTGTGGATTTATTTGAAAATTGCAAATGATATTAATAATAAAAGGATGGTTTAAATTGTAAATAATTTAATTGTCTGGAATGTAGTAGATGTTTAATTACTATGCAAAGTGATACAAAGTTATATTTTTAATGTCTCCAAAGTATAGCTACTAATTTATTATAATAAAAATATCAAAAATATAACTTTGAATTTTCTGCCTGACTCTACTTAAATAATTGTATAATAACAAATCTTGCTCTGGACTTCGCCAAATTTTATGGCATCAGTAGGATTAGTGAAGGTAAATTATAATTTTTAATCATTTATTTTATTGCCATATTAAATATTTTTTTTTTTTAAAAAAAAAAGAACAATCCGGATACTTTATTATCTTGGAGTACGCTAAAGATGGAAACTTAAGAGAGTACCTTCGTCAAAAATTTAAAAATCTTAACTGGAAAGAGAAAATTTCTATTGGAAAGCAAATCGCCAATGGGCTTAAAACTATCCACGATCAAAATATTGCTCATAGAGATTTGGTAAGATTCTTTTTTAATATATATAATATCAATTATTAATTATCACGACATTTTTTCATTTCAGAATCCGAATAATATATTGGTTGTCGGAGATCGAATGATGGTTGCTGACTTCGGAATATCAAGATCGTGTCTTCTTGAGTGGGACTCTTTTTTTAAAAAAGGAATGGCTGCATAAACTGATCCTATGTGTTTTAAAAATCTTGGTTACAAACGTGATAAAGCATCTGATATATACAGTTTTGGAATGATTCTTTGGGAAATATCAAGCAATAAAATTCCCTTTGAAAATAAATCCATGTTGGATATAAGGAAAAATCATGAACATGAAACACCCGTTCCAAACACTCCACATGGATATCAATTACTTTATCAACGTGCTTGGAGTTTTAATCCTAATGAACGACCTTTAATTGATGATGTTAATAATAAACTTGATGAATTTCTAAAAAATTCAAAAAATCCAATTATCTCTTCAATGGAGTCACAGATCTCTACAAAAAAGTCTCACGACTCTTTGGGAAAAAAGTTCAGAAATCTGATCTTTCATCTGCAAATTCTTCAGATACAATTCATTTTGATAACACAAATATATTACACCATCGAACTGGTTCAGAACTAGACAATCCGCAACTTACTAACATTAGTAGGCATTTATATCTACCACTTCCCAACAAACCGCCACAAATTGTTACCGACCAGAAAATACTTCCTCCCGTTCTTCCGAAAAAGCCACATGATATTTATCTAAATCATAACTCAAGCGCTAGTCAACCATACGAACGTTACAAACTTGAAGAGCAACAAAACGTGACATTTTCCATAGATCCAATACAAAATAATACTAAATCTGCTCCTTTTAAACTAAATAATTTTCATATTGAACCCCAATATGATTCAGCTCCAACTCTACATGGTTATTCTCAACAAAGGCCTCCACCTCCATATGATTATTATCGACAACCACTACCACCCCCACTTGATTATTCTCAACAAGGACTATCGCCTCAACCTCTTCTATACGATTATTATCAACAACCACCACCGAATCAACATGATTATTACCAACAGGTTCACCACATCAACATGGTTATTTCCAAAGGATGTCACACCTTCAATATTAATTAATCAAAGTACAACACTTCAACAAAGCAATCCCAGTGAAGAACCATCACCTCAAAACTATAATTTAAATATAAATCAACAAAATTTGAATGCGTTAAATCAGCAAAATTCGAGCCCATTAAATCAGAGCCCGTCACATTCGAGCCCGTTACATTTGTATCCGTTAACTCTAAGGCAACCACCTGTTCTTCCACCAAAGATCCCTATTTCAAAACAACCTCCAAATTCATCAATTTTCATTCACAAAAATATAGCTCAAACAGATGCAATTCCACATAGTTACCATGGAGAATTTGAACATTCAGATAGTCAAAATATCAACCAAAGCAAAGCCCAAACAGAGTTTATTCCTCATGTAAATTCACAAGCTCGTTCACAAGTTCATTCGTATGGATTATCTGATCAGCCAACTGGCCAAAATATGAACCAAGATCAACCCCAAATTATTAATCCAATAATTAAAAAGTCTCTTGATGCAATGTATCAAGAATTATTAACAAAACATATTAATGAATATAAAGGCGTTAGGAATTTCCAAGAACCTACATGTAATCCTTGTTAACACTAATAAAACTATTTATTCGTAATTATAGGTATAAATTATTCCTCAGTTCCTCTAGAAATTCCATCTTTGTATGACAACCTGTCTATGAGTAAAAAAGAAACTACTGACGAGTATATTATGACGACTAGATCGTGAGTATAAATAGAAGTCTTATACTAATTATATATTTTCTAAACTATTCATCGATTTTATAATTATGCACTAATAAAGAACGAGCAGATATGAAGGATCACTTACTGATTTTGAAGAATTAGCTCTGAGTAGTACTGATGTCTTCGACCGCATCAGTTATTCTACGCACGTTGTTACTATTAATAATGAGTCTAAGACTTGTAATAACGTGGATGGTATGAAACTAGGTAATAAATCAGAAGGTCGGTACGATATCTCGCAGTACATATCAGTGTATTCAACTATTTCACAAGGACCTTCGGACATCGCAATTACTGAAGCTGAACGATTGTTTTCACTACTTAAAAGCCAGAAAGATAAAATTGATAATATTTTGGATTCACATACTGTATACGCAGTGGGACCCAAATTTCAGAGCGATTATTCCATGCCTTATATCGCTTGTTGGGTTGCAAATCCTCTCATGGAATCAGTCATGAAAAAGATTTCGGGTTTGTTTAATCATGAATTTGAAGTCGCATACCATTTAGTGAAGGCTAACGGTAATGATGAAGACCCAAACAATGCATCAAATGCGAGTGGTAATATTAGTAGGCGGTTTTCAACAACTAATAAAAACGTGGCTGAGCATGAAAAAACTAACAGAAATTATAATGATAGCGATGATGATAGCGAATATCATGATGCTAATGATGGTGACAACGATGATGATGACAATGGTAATAATGATGTTTCCGATGATGGTAGTGGTGATGATGATAATAGTGATGGTGGTAGTGACGATTATGATAATAGTGGTGGTGGTAGCGACGATGATGATGGTAAAATTACAATTTCATCAGATGGTGGAGTCGAATTCGAGGATAAAAAATTAATTGGAGAGAATAAAAAAATGGTTCAATTTTTCAACATTACTATTAAACTCTGGGTAAATGTCAAACTTAATTCTAGAAATAATGCCAGCTCAACTTTAGAGTTTGAGATCGACTTGAATAATTGCACGGCGACAGATTTACTCAGCGAACAATGTCCGTCTCTAGGTAATTATATTTCTACTATATCGATTCATTAGAAATTTGTGTTTCTCCACTCAAATCCGACGACACGTGTATAATTATTCAATCCAAAAAGCATAGCCTACACAATGCTAATAATGATGTAACCTCAATAAAAGTCCATGAAAACGACTATCACTTTCAAATAGATGCAGGTGCACCGCAGAGTACAAAAGCAACCTTTGTTATTGGCAAAAAAAAAGGTCAAAGTTCAATAGCAACAACAAAAGAATGGGTTATGAGGGCACAATTTAGCGGGACTATTGGTAACTAATGGTCATATCGATTTGCTGATATCGATATAAATGATACTTTAGACAATAGAATTAGAATTAATACGGATGTACATAAGAGTCAATGGTACATTGAGAATGAAATAGAAGGATTTCGTGTAACTATTACGCAGGTAATGGGAAGCACTGATAAACGCAAATTTTCAAACGCAATTTTGATGAACATAAATATTCAATACCAATGTTGGTAAAAGAGAATCCCCAACTTGTTCAACAACTCGTGATTTCTTTTGCGAACTTAAAAGAACTTAATTCAGATTTTAAAAAACTTGCAAAAAAAAAGGGTCACGGAGGGTTTGTTACTGTTACTTCAAAACACAATGGCCAACCTCAGCAAGAAAATGATGTTATTAGTCGTAATTTATTTGGAAAAAATCGTGATGTTAAGGTTATTTAATGAATCAGCAGCATTTAATGGAATTGTAATATTGAGGTATTTCATAATTAACATATTCGAGAAATAAATAGGTGCATTTGATAATTCCCATTCCATGAAATAAACCTTTATTTGGCTTATATATTAATTTTCTAGATTTTGCCAAAAGAGCGGCTGTAGCTTAGTAGTAACAATATTAACCCCATAAAAAAATAAAATACTTTTTTAGATTCATGGATTTTAAGTTAGCATCAAATAAATCTTTATTAGAACGAAACTTTTCTAGATATTGTCTTTTGGGGGCCTGCAAATTACCTATTTTTGTGGCCCGGCCCGCACTTAGTTTTACAGCTGTTTCCATAAATTCTGGAAAATCTGCCAAAAGATTGACCGACCGAATGTTTGCCGATTCAATAAGTTTTGATTCGGCAATGATAAACTTTTGATTCGGACGTAATCACATTCGAATCAAAAGTTTAAACATATCGAATCGGCAAATATTCGGTCGGTCAATTTTTGCCAGATTTTCCAGAATTTATGAAAACAGCTGTAAAATTTTTTTGCCGGCCCGCATATATATAAATTTTTTCTTCAGTGCAAAATTTATTATTACAGCTGTTCTCATAAATTTTGGAACATCCGGTGAAAAATGATTATTTGGCGACTCGATAAGTTCGTGATTTTGGTAATGATAATAATGTGTATGTTGCGTCAGGTCAAAATTTAAATACAAGATTTCATCAAAAACTTACGTTAAGATGAAGGTAGATATTAGCTGAGTTATAGAGTTATTTTAATTTGACGTAGATATTAGTTTGATGCACAAATATATTAAAATTTAATCGAATATAGGTTTCAAAACTTGCAAAAGAAAAGAATAAAGAAGATAATAAATTTACGTATACTGAAAACTTTTAAATAAAATAATACAATATATAAATTTTTACTTTTATTTCGTTAACATAGCTTTGACAAATGTTAATAAATCTTTTTTAATCCAGTCAATAAATTCTTGATCGTATCAAACTTTTTTTTTATTAGCGCCCACTTGTGTAATATATTTACTATGAAAGCTAATCTTATATTCACATCCTTTTTTATGCTTTAAAGAACAATCTTCACCATAAATTCTTGTACAGATTAAACTTACCAAACGTACTGAACATGTATTTAAACGAAAACCCAATTTAAATGTGTTGACATTGTCGTATCGTTCTGAAGATATTATCGCTTTATATACTAATAACTCAAAAGTTTATCACTACCGTATCACAAGCTTATCGAATCGGCCAAACAATAATTCGGACCTGATGTTCCAAAATTTATGAGAAATTTATAAGAACAGCTGTAAATTTTGAAAATTTTTAGGCCCGCTCAGGCCCGTCCCAACCCGCAAAAATTTGCGGGCCGGCCGGGCTGCGGGACCCAATGCAGGCCTCTATTGTCTTTTATCCGGTAGATGGCTATGATCGGAGTGTCAAATAAATTTATTATTCGGCAGTTTTCATTATTACGATTTCAATAACTATTTATTATTTCGCTGTTTGACTTATGATATTTTGTTTTATTTTTTTATTCGATTATTCAAAATCGACGAAATTTTTTTATTTTTGATTCTTTGAATCCGTAGAATTAAAACTGAAATAGGGTCTTTTAGACTATCAAAATAATTTAGCTCCGAATCTCATATTATTTATTAAACCAACAGGGATTTTTTTTAAAATACTGTATTATAAATCTTGCTTTAAAAGATAAAGCTTTTTCTCTAATTTTTTTTTTTTAGTAAAACATTATATTTTAAAATAATTTTAACGGCAGTAACAATAAGCTCAATGATAACGTAAATACGTAATAATAATTTGAAAGCTCAACTTCTATATAAACGCTTATGACTAATATATAGACAAATTATACTGCTTATTACTAAATAAAGACTTTTCAAAAAAAATATTTATATGCCTTTACATTTGAAAAGAAGTTTGAAGTTATTCCTAAATGAAGCATTGAAATGATAATATTTCATAGGATCC